TTGCTGATATTCGCCAATGCAAAATTTATTACATGGAACGAACCGAGAACAAGGATCTACTGCCGGAACAGGAGGCGCTTGATGTTGGCGAAAATTTATCTCAGGCAATCAGGAATTTTGATGATCAGGAGGATCAGGTCAAGGAGATAGTAGTTGGAGGAAGCAGGATGATGTGAGGTCAAGGAGGTAGTAGTTGAAGGATTGGATTTTGTGGTGGTAAATAGTGGTGTATGGCATCGTGCCTTAAGGCAAAATTTTGAAACTTTCTGTACCGAAAATAAATTTGTTTAAAAAAACTTTATCAAAATTCATCTCAGGCAATCGTGAATTTTGATTATCAGGCCAAGCAGATAATAGTTGGGTAAATCGGGATGATGAGAGGTCAAGGAGGTAGTAGTTGAAGGATTGGATTTTTTGGTGGTAAATAGTGATGTAAACTAGTGGTGCATGGCATCGTGCCTTAAGGCAAAATGCTGGAACTTTCTGTACCAAAAATGATTTTTTTTAAAAAAACTTTCCAAAGCTTTGGAAAAATTAAATTTTAGAGAAATTTTGAAGTTTTTGACAAAATTTGACTTTTTGAAAATTTTTTTTTTTGTATCTTGATTTTTTTGAAAATTTTGAACATTTTTTTAAGACGCCGCAGTGCTGTCTTTCAGTCGAAATATCAAAGCGCGTAAGCGCTGCGTAGTCGTCTAGCGTGTATGCATGGGTACGGAACCCATATAAATATACACAAAATTTGTACTTACTATTATAATCTTTATAAAATATCTGGTAATACGATGTACATATGTCTATATTATAATGATCATTTTTGACCGACAAATGGCATTAATTTTTACTTTTTTTATTGGATCTCCTGAGACGTTGGACCTGCCTTTACAAAAGGCACTAGTTGTTCATTTCGTCAATACAAGTAAAATATTTTTTGAATTATTTAAATCGGACGCTCCGTTATTTCAGAAACTGAAATATCATGTTTGGCACTTTTCGCCCCGTATCTCCGAAACGGCTAGATCTGTCTTTGCCCAAATCTAATCAGCACGTCTCCTTATCAGTACGAATCGAATGTTTTTTGAATTATTCAAATCGGTTGATCGGTGTTCCCGAAATCGTCGACGAAAATTTGTATCCGCACATACATACGCACACGCACACACGCACACACACACACATACATCCATTTTTTCTAAGGTATTCCAAAATATTCAGAAACCTCTGAAAGCCAACTCATATCATTAAAATAGTTTTGAATCATCAAAAACAGTTCAGGATTAGTTTAAATATTATGAGCTTTTAAGGGCAACCTCGTTGTTTTATTAATTTTGTTCATTTAAGCTTTTGATTCGTAATCGTAAATAGCATTTCTAGAACTACAGTCATAAACAACGACACAATAACCTCAAGAATTTAAAATTTTAAAAATTGCTCTACTTTTAGTAGATCTCATTTTAAAAAAGTGCACTAAACTGTGTTGGCAAGTTTCAACACAAGTTGGCGCATTTAATTAGAATTGTAAAATAGTAAAATACTTAATAGTTTCATAACAAAAATATTCGAGTAAAAATATACAAATCTAAATCCGCGTTTCGGCTTATCCTTGAGTTTTGAGACACCCTGTCTATAATACTGGACGAGTATAGTTATACCTAAGGATAAAAAAACTCATAAGGTAATTCACCTTATTTAATGAAAAAAAATAATCAATAAAATTTGTGTCAAAAATTTTTGAAATAATAGATTTTATGTATAGTTTTGCAAAGTGTTCTTAAATTTGACTCTGATATTTATCAATTCTCTGTTTTACCGATTGGCGCATAAACATTATTTATCGCAACACCAAGCAGAATATAAATTGCTCAAAATAAAAAATATCGATTATTTATACTAATGATTATTAGTGTCTTGTAATTACATGCGATTGTATCTCAATATCGCAAAACTTGAAATATAAGAGAAGTACTCGCTCGATAAATCTTTTCGGTACTGTCTTCGTGTGAAGGAGTAATTCATTACATATCGAAATGTAATCTCGAATCCCAAGCCAAGAGTGAGTTGGTTGCTTGAGGCCATGAATGTTACTTTTTTCCAGGTTTTTTATTTGGTTTCTTTGTATCTCACAACTTTTTTCATAATTGTTTATGCTCTATTGTCGTCCGAATAATCGCGGCGGGATCTCTGACGCACGTAAACATCGTGATGTACGGAATGGAACTTGTAAATAAATGGAAAATAGAATTTTAGTTGTTGTTTTGTAGAAGAATGGGTAGAAATATAACATTTTTACCTATTTCTGCATCCTGTGGAAATAAAACATATTACCTTACAATTAGAATCAAGATTGTCTAAAAACTCTGAACTGGTTTGGTTTTCAAACTCCAAAACGTTTTGGTTTTTAGTTTTGATACTTAAAACTGTTTTTGAAGCTATTGCACTATAGTCGATAAAGTTATCCAACAATTGCCCAATGCTTTTTTTGCATCTTTAATTGCATGAGATATTTGTATCCAATTAAAATATCACCTGTAGTAGATATCGAGAGTTGATGGTGAAGTGAATTTGGTTTCTGTCTTATTTGTAGATCTTGATCTACAATTTTGTTTTATTTTTATATTGCTCTATAACACATGAATGAACCAATTTTTGAATAAATCAAGCAAAGTGTGTCAATTAAAAATTTATCTTCAGTACTTGGTATCATCCAACTCCTCCAGAAAATAGTTACTTGAATTTTGACATCCCCAACAAACCTAATCCTGAGGAATTTGATTTCTATTTATTTGTCCGAGTTGTCTTCTGTATCTTCCTTTGACAAGATGGTACTTGCATAAATGTATTTTTATCATTGAAATTGCAGCTGATTTTAGCGGCAAAAACGGGAGATGCGTAGCTGGTCATTAATTAAACTGCCGCTCCGTAGTAATTGCACGTTCCTGCTTATCGGCGGCGATTCAACGATTTTTACTCGACGACGACTCTGCAAGGAAGCAGGTGTGACCAAAAATAGGGGCCACATTGATAAAAGAATTTGGAAAGTTATATCGCATGAGTTTTGTAGTAATCTCTTACTAAATGACTTTTGGAAAAATAATAAAATTAAATATTTTTTAATAGAGCTCTTCTCACTATTTTGGCTTGGATTATCATTTGACAAGAAATTACAAATATCTCTGCTTTGTTGTATTATCATGATTCCATTCTAAATATTTTAGGTATTTAATTTCAGCAAATCCAATTTTGAATTAGTACTTTGAGTGCTTTGCTGTTCTCTATACTTTTTCTTAGGACATTGGGCTGTCTATGTTAAAATTTTTATCTCATAAAGGTTTTATTTACTGCTTTTTTTCTGAGCTTTGTAGATCAAAACTTCAAACAGAGTTTTAAAGATCTGGTCATTTTCAACTGCTAAACAGTTTTGAAACATTGATTGGAAATAGAATATTTTAATTCTACTTCCTAGTTTTTTTGAGCTATTTCTGGTATATTCCTTACATACAGATATTCCCT